AACCTGTTAACTTGCGTACCCGTATTTTAATCTCTTTAACCTATAGTTGCGCCGATGCCAATGAAGTCATGCAGCTAACGCGCTTCTAATTCAGTATTAATGTGCTCCCAGAACGACCGCAGATGAGGCATTAAGTGCATGGCACTGCGACCAACTTTACATTTTACAGAGTTTAATGTGGTCGCTTTGTTTTTCTAGATCAGTTTTAGTCGTGTAATAGATTTGAACAAAGAAATAAATTGCTACACAAAGGCAGTATTGGCCATTGATTGCAAATACAAATACAAAAATTAGACGAGTAAAGAAAACGCGGTACTTATTAAAAGAATCACCCTTTTATTTAAATATATGAAAACAGGAAACCGCTGTTAACAGGTTAATGTAATATTTTCCCATTCAATGACTAGTAAAATAATGGCAACTTACTGTCTGGATAATATTGAACATGGTTCTTCTGAGATGTATTCATCTGCAGACCACATGGATACTATTGGTTCTTCTCGGAGTAGTGCGGCCGCGCGCTGCGTCGTAGTCTTGTGTGACCGGTGTCAGTGTTAAGGCGCAATACTGCCACCTGGGAGGTCAACCAGGTACTGGTGCTGGAGTAGGCTATTTGCGTGTGGTGTTATCATAAGTGTCCTGTTCATTTTAAATATCATGGTTATCGCCAATACCGGTATATCGTCACACACTAAATTAACACGATGTCGATATTTCATGATTTGAATATCACGGTTATCGTCAATACCGGTATATCGTCACACACTAAATTAACACGATGTCGATATTTCATGATTTGAATATCACGGTTATCGTCAATACCGGTATATCGTCACACACTAAATTAACACGATGTCGATATTTCATGATTTGAATATCACGGTTATCGTCAATACCGGGCATGGATACTATTGGTTCTTCTCGGAGTAGTGCGGCTGCGCGCTGCGTCGTAGTCTTGTGTGACCGGTGTCAGTGTTAAGGCGCAATACTGCCACCTGGGAGGTCAACCAGGTACTGGTGCTGGAGTAGGCTATTTGCGTGTGGTGTTATCATAAGTGTCCTGTTCATTTTAAATATCATGGTTATCGCCAATACCGGTATATCGTCACACACTAAATTAACACGATGTCGATATTTCATGATTTGAATATCACGGTTATCGTCAATACCGGTATATCGTCACACACTAAATTAACACGATGTCGATATTTCATGATTTGAATATCACGGTTATCGTCAATACCGGTATATCGTCACACACTAAATTAACACGATGTCGATATTTCATGATTTGAATATCACGGTTATCGTCAATACCGGTATATCGCGACACCCCTATTCTGAAGTCATACGATCTCTGTGTGAGAAGCACAAAATAAAACTGTTGCATTTCTAAACTTGTGTGTTATGAAATTACATAATTGTTATGAAACCTGCTGCAATTTGATTGAATATTTGAATATGCAACAGCAAAATAGACATGAGCTGTGGAGGAGAGGAAAAGATTTTCTATAAATAATGACTTGTGAGGATTTTGGGTCTGTTCTTCTCACAAAGCTATTTTGTCATGTTTTGTTTTGGAACTTGATAGCATCCGTCTTGTAAAACTGATTTGCTAAATTTATAATAAAAAAGACTTTCTGTCTTCAGTCATAATACTGCCACATGCACACTTTGCAAAAACGTGTGGTTAAGTTAAAATGATGTCAGATTAATGCATGTTTAACTCTGGTTTGTTCTTGCAGGGAGAAGCGTTTGATTGGGTCAGCAGCTCCTCTGCACATGCACAGAGTGTTGCCAAAGCCAAGTACCAGTTTCTCTTCGGAAAGACAGAAGACACAAGCTCAGCAGATAGCGGTACTTTTATATTCTTGCATACTTCTTGCATGCATGTAATTATTGTGTGTGTGTGTGTGTATATGTGTATATATATATATATATATACACCAATGGATTGGTAATAGTGAGAAAGTGTGACCATACATATATATATATATATATATATATATATATATATATATATATATATATATATATATATATATATATATATATATATATATATATATATATATATATATATATATATATATATATATATATATATATACACCAATGGATTGGTAATAGTGAGAAAGTGTGACCATACATATATATATATATATATATATAGTAAATTGAAACTGCATGCAACACATTTTCTCTTTCACTTCCGTATGTGATGCTGTATTTTTTCAGCTGAATACAGGCTCAAATGAACACCCTACTCTTCTAAATGTGTAACATCCTGTTCTTCTGTGTGTAGATCTTTAAAAAAAATGGATTGTGGATTACAGGAATAGTTCATAGTTCAGATGAAAATTTGCTGAAAAATTGACTCACCCTCAGCTCATCCAAGATTAGGATGAGTTTGTTTCTTCATCAGATTTGTATAAATGTAGCATTGCATCAGTGTCTCAGCAATGGATGCTCTGCAGTGAATGGGTGCCGTCAGAATGAGAGTCCAAACAGCTGATAAAAACATCACAATAATCCACAAGTAATCCACTCCAGTCCATCAGTTAATGTTTTGAGAAGACAAAAGCTGTGTGTTTGTAAGAAACAGATCAATCTTTAAGACGTTTTACCTTTAAACCTTTCTCTGAAAAAAATGGTAACCTAAAAATGAGCAGTAACCCTTTATTTTAAGGACCAGTTCTCACCATTAACTAGTTGCTTATTAGCATGCATATTACTAGCATATTGGCTGTTTATAGTTTTTAACTATTAATAATCAGCAAATTAGAAGTTTGAGGCAAATGTCGTCGATAATAGTTATTTAATAGTGAGAATTGGTTCCCAATGTGACCAAATGTGCTTCATGTGGTAATGAATAAATAAAAAATGTTATTTAACATTACTGAATCAACCTGAATATATTAGGTTACTTTATTTTTTACTTTTTACAGTGTCGCTTCTGAGTTTATAATCCATAATAACACTTCCTCCAGTGAAAAAGTCCATCCCGTTATCCTCCCACATCAAAATCCACCCATGAGGAACTGTTTTGGAGTGTTTTGGTTCATCAATGGTTGTTGATTTGTGCAGATTTCTCTCCTGATTCAGACCAGATGGCTTTTTTGACCCCTTGACTAAACTATTATGCAGCTAGCATCTAGTTCTGTGCAACATTATAGTTCACAGAATCTGACAGTTTGTACACAAACCCTGCTTTGTTCCTCTGTAAAAAACAAAAACTAGGTTTTCTGAGAGGGGTTTACAGTGCTGACTGATAACATCTAAATTAACGTTATAAATGAACTAAACCAGGTAGAAATAGCTCTTAACAACTGCAGTGTAGCAAACATAATGCTTTGCTGGTGGCACCTGAAGGCAGGTGAAGTGCATTTAAGAAAATAAAGGATGTAAATAGAGATGTTTTTATAATAAATAATACAGACATAAGAGAGGCAACAACCTTGAACTTTGGTGGAAAATATCTCAATTGTCATGAGTCACTCGCAAAGTTGCGATTATTGAAGTAGTGATAATCATAGGAACATTTGAGCATCAGTTTAACCTGTTTGATGTCTGCTATTTTTGACCAAAGGCATGTTATTCAGCTGACGCATTATGTCCAACAATTTTAAGTAAACCACCCGTTGACTCATAAAACTGCTGCTAAACATCATATTGCCATGTCCACATTTTTATAAACATCTTTGGGCTTGTTGTTTCGTAAATGTAGTTCATAAAAATGATCAATGTATTTGGGTTTATTTGAAAAAGGCAAGTGGCTTGTTTTTCAGATCCAGTTTTTCTAGTGAGATCTGGCAACATTGGTCTCTATGGAGAGTAATGTATGGGATTTCCCCAAGACCACAGGACTGTTGGAAGAAACTTTAGTGAAGAGAGATCGTATCAAAATGTATGAGTCAATGAAGACACATACCTTTGTTTCTGCGATTTTCTAGCATCCAATGGCACCCATTCTCAAGCTACCATTTTCCAGAAAAGAGACGTCACTGCATTATCAACTAGTTGTTCAGTTTGTTTCTGTTCACAGATAGGACTGTCACTTTAAATGTTTGAGGAGTTAATTCGCTTGTGGAATGTGATTATCACTGATTCTGACATACAGGAATTGATTGGACTGTGTCTACAGAGTGTGATTAAACTCTCAGTAGAGGAGTGACAACCCTATTGAGCTGCTGTGTGTGTTTTAACCACCAACATGAACACAAAACACTCCTCCAAGATCTTAGTGTTTCCGTATCACTGGTGTGTCATTCTGCCTGTCTGTCTGCCTGCCTGCCTGTCTATCTGCCTGCCTGTCTGTCTACCTGTCTGTCTGCTTGTCTGTCTGTCTACCTGTCTGACTGTCTGTCTGTCTGTCTACCTACCTGTCTTGTCTGTGTCTGTCTACCTACTTGTCTGTCTCTGTCTGCCTGCTTGCCTGCCTGTCTGTCTGTCTGTCTGTGTCCGTCTGCCCGCTTGTCTGTCTGTCTTTCTGTCTGTCTGCCTATCTGTCTGTCTGTCTACCTGCCTGTCTATGTGTCTGTCTGTCCTCTAATAGCATTGCACAAATTATACAGAGTTGAGTTTGTGTAGAAAAACACATTTACAAATCTCAGTATAGTTTTTAGTAAATTAGTTTGATTTTGTGAAACTCCTTACATTCATTGGTGGATCTGATTTTATTTATTTGTGGATGGATTGTATTTGTGAATCTGTTTATTCACAAGTATTTAATAACCCCAAACCTCTAGCATCATTACAATTTGCACATGATCTTTTTAAATATTTATATTTTTTAAACTAACACAAATTTTAAATGTATTTAATTAAGTGTTTTTAATTCATTATTTAATAAATTTTCTTCATTTCAAACCTAACAAAATTCTGTTTGTAAATTGATTTGCTTTGATATTATATCAATTGACATGAAGGCAGTGTGTGGCCGAAATGTCTAATCTTTATCTCACATACTCTACTGTATATAGTAAGTGCAGTGGTATGCAGCCTGGTGTTTTTGTTCAAATTTAGTTTACAGTACATTTTCAACCATAGTCAAATGCTGCCACCTGGTGAAGAGAGTTTGGACAGTTCTAAACAAATATGACTAATCTGCTTTATGCTTAATGTTTAATGTTTTACAGACCCTCACATTTCATGATGACCAGTACTTTCATTTCAGCTGGTGCATTAAAAATGAAATTCACACATACAGGATTATGTAATTGTCCTGATATCATGATGAAGAAAAATTGTCCTTAAATTATTGGAAAAAAAGTTGTTTGGCATAATCTTTAATTCTTAGTTCTTTGAGAAAACTGCTCATTAATGTATGAAAACCTTTTTCTTCTGCTAAATCAAAATCACATGGTATAACCAAAATGCAAAAACATGCCAAAAAAAAGGACATGATATCATGACTGTTTCACTGAGTCTCTCAATATATCAAAATAAGTTGACCTTTTTATGACAAGGAAAGGTTAGTTCAGGTTGTAAAATATCATGTGGCCTAAACATTCAGATGTGTCCACTTGATGATGCTTTTCATTTCCCTAAAATGTTTGTTTTTGTTTTGTATAATTGAAATGTTATCTACTACCAATAGCGTTTTTGCTTTGGAAGTTTCTCTTTTTCTTGTTGTTCATCCTGCCTTCCGTTGGTTTTATTTGAGGCAGACAGTCTTGCTCCACTTGACTTTCTTTGAGTTAGCACTTAATGATCTCTAATCTTAATTTTTTGGTTTGTCAAACAGTCGCCCCTCCGACCCAAGAGAAACAGGGAAGCGGCTCAGGTCTTGAGTCCGCTCTTGATGACGATGACATTGATGAGACGTCCCTCTTCCAGGAAATTGACAGGGAGCTGTCAAACCTGTTGAGTGGCCTGACCGCTCGGAGTCAGCATGCTGCGTCCGGACAGGACTCGATGTCAGGAAACGCCACCGCCGCCTCACCCATGATCCCTTGCAACGGGCAAGACGAAACCCCGCTGTCTCAGCTGGATATGGCCAAGCAGGGCCTGGACGTTCAGAACGGCCAGTCCGAGTTAGCAGGAGACTCCCTGCTGTTTGATTCGTGGTGCGAGGCGCTCATAAAGGACCCCAGCTCAGTTATGGCGGCCGCAAACGAGCTGAGCTGCTTCAGCTCTGGGCCCAGTCGAGACCCCAGGAATGCACTGGCCTGCCAAAATAAACCTGACGCCAGCCCGACTCCAGCTGCAGCACATGGGGAGCAGCCCTCAGAGGTGCCCTCCCAAGAAAACGCTGGAAAGGAGATGGAGGGCAAGAGGGCCGGGTCACCCTTGCCCAGTAGGACAGACGACGACCCCTCGGCAGAACTGGTGGATGGGTCTCTAGAGGAATCCAATAAAATTCTGGCCGAGATCCCGGGCATCTTCAGTGGCTTTCTGGAGGGGGGCAAACTGCGGGACAAGCCGCCGAAGAAGCTGCGGTTTGTGGAGAGCAGGGAGAGCCTTGTGAACGGAGAGATGCAGAACGGTACGTACCAGAGCTGCAGCGTGAAAGAGGAAGTGACTCTGGACGCGCAGCATACAGAAGCCACAGGAGTGCCACAGGGGCGCGTGCTGAGACCCGATCACAATCCAGCAGAGAACGGCTCAGACAGGTACAGTACCTCTGCATCGCAGTCCTCACTTGCCAAAAGCCTGTTAGATAGTAGAGAGACACCATTATTTGGCATGAGCAAGCTATTTTATATGATACTTTTGTACTTTTAAAGAAATTCTAAAAAATATCACCCACCAGTGGCATTAAATTGGTGTTCGTTCAACAGGAAACAACGGTGTTCACAGGTAAATTAATTCCTTATATTTTTATAATCAATATATATTATTAACAATGAGTAATTGTTTTGTTTTCATAAATATTTTTTATGTAACTATTTATATAATTTTATTATTAAAATGTTTTAATACAATTTTAACGGTGCATGTTTTTTAAAAATGGCTATGATGTGGAAAAATCCAAAATAAAACAATTAAAAAGTGATTTTGCTTATTAGTTATCAAACACATTAACATTAAAATAATCAGTATTGTGTTTCTTATCTCTGTTTAATAGCAATTATAGTTGTTGTTATACATTTGGTAAAGATTTTGGACTTAACATTTTTAAATGTTCTAGTAACACTAGCTCTGCATTATTACATAGACAACATTTTAAATCTGACTGATTTAAACCCTCTACGTGCATGTTTGATGTTTTTTAGTATTACATTAAAATATTAATATATTTATAATATGCATTTTCTCTTGATATATTTGTCATCTTGGAATAATTATTCCTGACTGACTGTTGCATTGCATTTTAATACTGCCAGAATATAGAAGGCAGAGTAATGCTAACACTTTAGATTAGGGAACACTGTTCACTATTAACTAGTTGCTTATTAGCATGTATATTACTAGCATATTGGCTGTTTACTTATAAAGCACATATTAATGTCTTATTCTGCATGACCTTATTTTAGATCCCTTAAACCTACCCAATAGATAACTACCACAACAACTACTTTTCTCACTGTTTTTAAGCAGTAATTTGGAGTTTACTGAGAGAAAACTCTTGCATGTGTGTTCCCTAAGTGTTAACAGCATTATTTATGAATAGCTGTTATGCCAGGGGCACACCTATGATGCCTATGTAGGCAACTCAGTATGGTGAGTAAAAGCTGTCAAGAATGAGAGATATACACAGCTGCACCTTATGTAATGCTAAATTCAATTGTGCTGTTCATCAGCTAATCTAGTTACTTTTTATATTCAGTTCTCTAATGCATCTGATTATCGGTTTCACTTCCTTTACCCTTTCTGCCTGGTCTTCGTAAGAAATGATCAAGCACAATGTAGAGGAAGCGTTGTGTTCACTCTGAGTTGCTAAGAGGAACGAGGCTTGTGGTTCTATAATGGAATTGCGTTATTTTTTTTCAACTTCCTGTGGATGACTCTCATGAATTTGTCCAGTACATATCCGGGTCAGAAAGAAAACTGTTTATTTTATTTTCATAATCATTTATTTCATAATAATTAATAATCATAATAATAATAATAATAATTCAGAATAATATTATTCATAGTAATTAATTGTCCATTACAGAAGAAAATTCGGTCACACTTTATTTTAATGTCCAATTATCACAATTAACAAACAATTAACTACGGCTTTTGCCTCAATAACTCCTAATTAGCTGCTTATTAATAGTTAGTAAGGTAGCTGTTAAGTTTAGGTATTGGGTATATTAGAGATGCAGAATATGTGCTTTATAAACACTTATAAACAGCCAATATGTTAATAATAGGCATGCTAATAAGCAACTCGTTAATAGTGAGAATCTGTCCCTATACTAAAGTGTTACCGAACATTTCATTACTATAACCAAGCCAAAAATTGTAGTAATACAATCAATCAATCAATCAAGTACTTAGATAAGTATTTATGTCATTACATTATTTGATTGAGCAATCTGTAATTGTTTGTTTTAATAAAAATACTGTATTCCAGTAATAAAAATCGTAATAAGAATGACTTTGAAAGTCTGAATGCATTATGGAAACAATAGTTTGAGTGGAAATGTGCTGAATTCATAAATGAATGGTCCTAGGTTATTGTTTTATTCTTTTAATTTTCTGGTGAAATATGACCCAGGCTCATTTTGTGAGGTTCATTCTTATGGCCTAAGTTGTCAAATGAACATATGTTGTAGTAACTGCTTGAGTTGTGTCTCAACTCAAGGACTTTAAATAGGCATAAGACAGAATGTCCTAAAGTCCACGTCTGTTCAGTGAGATGTGTTTGTCTGTCTGGCTGCTCCAGGTGTTCTGCAGGTGAGAGTGACGCCACAGATGTCTTCAGCTGCCAGTTTGAGATCATCCTGGAGTCGGAGCGTCTGCGGGGGACTCTCTACAGTAGCATGGACTCGCTGTCCAACCCTGCACCTGAACCCAGCTCTCACAGCGCTCCAGGAGCCTCGTTTGCCTTCGACATCCCCCTCACTCCCATGATTCAGCAGCGACTCAAGGACAGAAGTCTGTTCCTGAGCTCGGATGCTGAGGTGCTGAGCGTCGCCGCCACGAAGGAGAGCGTCAGGGCAGCTCTGGAGGTGACCTCTTCGTTTCTCTCAGCGGGCCGCGAGGACGCAGGAAACGGTTTAAACGACAAAGACCCCAGAGACTGGCTGCAGGGCTGTTTCAGGTAAGACCGCACAGTTCAACGTATGCTGAAAGAATGGCTGACAGCTCTTTGTCATGGTTGCAGATATTGCACGCAGTGTTGCACAAATTGTAACATTCTTCGCGCTGAGCACTGTTTCGTTATGTTGTTATGCTGAAGAGCTTGTGTACTGGAGAAAACATGGAGGCTTGAGTTGATTATGTGGCGCCCTCTGCTGAAAAGTATTTTCAATTGCATGCACTTTTTCAGACCAGGGTTATAAAATTAAGTCACACTTTATTTTAAGGTCCAATTCTCGCCATTAACAAACCATTAACTATGACTTTTGCCTCAATCTTTTAATTTGCTGCTTATTAATAGCCAGTAAGGTAGTTGTTAAGTTTAGGTATTGTGTAGGATTAGAGATGCAGAATATGCTCATGCAGAATATGTGCTTTATAAACAGCCAATATGTTAATAATAGGCATGCTAATAAGCAACTCGTTAATAGTGAGAATTGGTCCCTATACTAAACCTAAAAACATTTTTGTTTCATAAATGAAATAAACATAATCTGAGGTAAAATGTATTTACTAAAATAACTACAAATAAAAGTGAAATAAAATAACTATATAAATGAATAAAAACTATATTCAAAACTGATTATCTAGTATCTCAATGATAGAAAAATGACACTGGTTCAGAAAGGAATTTTTCTAGATATTTAGACAATAACTGTAATTCATAGATAAGAGTTGATGTTCAATGCAAATATTACAATTCTGTCATCATTTACTCACCCTCCGCTCGTTCCAAACCTGTATTGAGTTTCTTTTTTTTTCTGTTGAGCACAAAAGAAGATATTTTGAAGAATGTGGGTTACCAAAAAGTTGACAGTAAACACTGACTTCCATAGTATGGGGGGAAAAATATTATTAAGTCAGTGGCTACCATCAGCTAGCCCTAATTCTTCAAAATATCTTCTTTTGTGCGCAACAGAAGAATGAAACTACAGGTTTGGAACGAGCGGAAAGTGAGTAAATGATGACAGGATTGTCGTTTCTGGGTGAACCATCCCTTTAAGGAGTTAAAGTGAAGGTGAGAACATTTATAGTAGGGATGCACGATATTGGATTTTTGCTGATATCCGATATGCTGGTATTTTTCAACTCATTTTGGCTGATACCGATATATTTCCTTTTGTTTGGAAACAACACCAAGTCTCTCCTGTGCAGAAATTATAAGCAAATTATTTTTAATTTTGGTTAGTTTTTAACAAGAACTTATTTGTTAGAATTAAATAACAATAATATTTTTTTTGGACAGTACATTGAACCTTTGAAAATAACTATAAATAAACTATATATCAATCGCTGCATTTTTTCCCCCAGAAAAGGTTAACCCTTACATTTTATTTTAAGATTTAACATCTGTAGATGGTCTAAAGCAAAAGAGTTGTAAAAATTCTGGAAATCTTTTAGAGCTTATGATTTGTTTGAAAGATAAAACATATGACACATTAATGAATAAATCAGTATATATAAAATTATTTAATTTACAAGTTTTTTTATATTATTTTCATTTAAGCTATAGCTTCTGACCTTTAAATAAAAACATACTCATTATTTTATGACATCAATTACTGCTTTATTTAATCAGAAACACAGTCTAAATGTTATTTGTGTAGGCTATTTTACTTTTAATTTAAAGGTCCCATATTGTACACCTTTCTGGAGTTTTATTTGAGGTTTTGATGTCCTTAAGAATATATATTTGCATATGGTAGTTAAATAGCCCCTAGACCTCAGTAATCGTGAAAAAAGCCAGGAAATTTCAGTTTTGACAATATGGGACCTTTAATTAGAAATAGGCCAACAGCGCCCCCTACGGAATTAAAACTCCTTACTGAGCGGGCATTAGGATATATTCCTCTTATCGGCAAGACATATCGGCATAATTTTTCATATCGGGCCGATGCCGCTATTTACATTTAAAGCCATTATCGGCCGATTCCGATATCAGTCCGATAATATCGTGCATCCCTAATTTATAGTCAATAAGATTTGTAAACTTCCAGTGACAAGAGTGCTATAGGGCTGTCAAAAAATTTTTTAATTTCGAATATTTGTCGAATTTAAAATAAAAATCAAGTTTCTGTTAGTCCACACTGCAGAATAGTAGGTGGCTGTAATGCACCTTAACATTGGATGCCACCCGCCATAAAACAAAACAAGAAGAAGAAGACATCTATCACCGTTGCACTCGCGTCTTGAACAAGAGAGCATGTTTAGAAAGCCATGTACAATTAAAACTTTTAAAAAACTTGTCTCGAGACTTCATGGCGTTTTTTTTTCCCATCCCACTGCATCTCATGCTTTTAAATGAAAAAAAACTCTTTGTGACTTTGCTGATATTGATTCTTTGATATTCATTTGATTGTTCACAGTTTCAGTACACTTTTTATTTTATACCTGATTATGCTTCCTCTGTGGGCATAAACACTGCAAAGTTTTGACATGACGAAAACATTTAAATACGGCAGTAAACTCACAAATCATAGTAAAGTTATGATGTCTTGTGGATGTAAACAAGAAATGTGGATCGCTGTGATTTTAGCAAATTAGCAACAAGAGATGTGTTAGTTATTATTAGAGCTGGTTATTTTTTTTAAAGATAAGGCTTTTCAAGCTCTTAAATGCGAGGACGATGCAATCCTATTTCTGCAAAGGAGTAAAAATATAAAAAAAGGTAATTGCAACTTTTTTCTCAAGAATTTGGATTTCTGAGAAAAAAGGTCTGGATTGCGAGATGTATTTGCAGAGAAAAAAAAACTCACAAGAATTCACAATTACCTTTTTAATATATATTTTTTTCTGTGGTGGAAATAAGCTTATATGAAGGACCCACAGGAGGACTTCCCTTCATAAAATATAGGGTATATACAGTAAAAGTGTGGGGTCAATAAGATTTATAAATGTTTTCGAATAATAAGTCTCTTGTACTCACAAAAGCTGCATTTATTTGATCAAAAATACAGTAAAACTATAATATTGTCTCTAATATAACTGTAACATATTATCTAACTACCCTGAGACTGCAGGGCTGATGGGAGAAATGACGGGGTATGGAGAAAAACCAGTGTCGCAATAAATCAAGCGAATGAGTCAAGACACAAACCCCTGTTATGTCATTTTCTAGAAGTTAGTTTCCAAAAGAGTGACGTCACGCTGTACTAGTTCTGTAAACACTATGTGGATTTGAAGTGGATTCAGTTTTTATGGGTTTGGAGTAAATTTTTTGTACAACATGGTTGTGATTCCTGTAAACAACTGATCTGTGTGTACACAAGAAGACGAAACACAGATCAGCTGAGTTTAAACTGCACAGAATTGAAAGGAGCTCTTGTGTTTTATGGATGAGTGAATGCTTATGAAGCACTTTATTAAACCTGCTGCTGACTGCATTCATTTGACCTCTCATGTGCGCAATTCGAGGAACCAGTGGATGTGATCAAAATTTAGATTTATACAATAAATAAGCTTTCCATTGATGTATGGTTTGTTAGGATGGGACAATATTTGGTCGAGATACAACTATTTGAAAATCTGGAATCTGAGGGTGCAAAAAAATCTAAATATTGAGAAAATCGCCTTTAAAGCTATCCAAATGAAGTCCTTAGCAATGCGAAAATTAAGTTTTGATATATTTATGGTAGAAAATTTACAAAATATATTCACGGAACATGATCTTTACTTGATATCCTAATAATTTTTGGCATAAAAGAACAATCGATCATTTTGACCCATGCAATGCATTTTTAGTTGTTGCCACAAATATACCCGTGCTACTTATGACTGGTTTTGTGGTGCAGGGTCACATATAATTTGTAAAGCCCACTGAGTCTAACATGCACCTAGAGAAACGCAGTCTACTACAGCATAACAATAGCAATCAGTAAACATGCATTCTCACCCGCACACTCGTCAGAAATCATCACACTACATTTCCTCATCATCTGCTGTTATTTATAGCTCCATCGCAGCCTCGTGCCCCAGAGCATGATGGATGTAAATAAAGGCCATAGCTCCATTCACACACAAGCGTGTGTTCGACCCAGCCCCCCTCAGATGGAGTGAGACGCCGGAGCTGTGGTGATGAGACTCGCTACAATAATGAATAAGCACAAACAGAGCGCCGTGTCCTAGCATGCAGGTCAGAGCCGAGCGTCTGGCATCTGGAGGTAGGACGTCTTGTGGATGTAAACAAGAAATGTGGATCGCTGTGATTTTAGCAAATTAGCAACAAGAGATGTGTTAGTTATTATTAGAGCTGGTTATTTTTTTTAAAGATAAGGCTTTTCAAGCTCTTAAATGCGAGGACGATGCAATCCTATTTCTGCAAAGGAGTAAAAATATAAAAAAAGGTAATTGCAACTTTTTTCTCAAGAATTTGGATTTCTGAGAAAAAAGGTCTGGATTGCGAGATGTATTTGCAGAGAAAAAAAAACTCACAAGAATTCACAATTACCTTTTTAATATATATTTTTTTCTGTGGTGGAAATAAGCTTATATGAAGGACCCACAGGAGGACTTCCCTTCATAAAATATAGGGTATATACAGTAAAAGTGTGGGGTCAATAAGATTTATAAATGTTTTCGAATAATAAGTCTCTTGTACTCACAAAAGCTGCATTTATTTGATCAAAAATACAGTAAAACTATAATATTGTCTCTAATATAACTGTAACATATTATCTAACTACCCTGAGACTGCAGGGCTGATGGGAGAAATGACGGGGTATGGAGAAAAACCAGTGTCGCAATAAATCAAGCGAATGAGTCAAGACACAAACCCCTGTTATGTCATTTTCTAGAAGTTAGTTTCCAAAAGAGTGACGTCACGCTGTACTAGTTCTGTAAACACTATGTGGATTTGAAGTGGATTCAGTTTTTATGGGTTTGGAGTAAATTTTTTGTACAACATGGTTGTGATTCCTGTAAACAACTGATCTGTGTGTACACAAGAAGACGAAACACAGATCA